CCTCCTGAGTTCCAGAGATTACCTTTCCACCCTTGGGAATGCTAGAGGATTAGAAAAAACGTGTCCCCCCAAGTGGAAAAGAATACCAGACTCTTCCAGAGACTGAGTGCAATTAAAGATAAGAAATTAAAGATGTCTGAAGCATTCCTTGCATTTAGCCTTTTCCTGATTTGCAGGAATCACTAGTTTGTTGAAGCACCTGGGCTCTACAGAAAGCTCTGTGTGTCGTAAGTGCAGCCTAAGAGATCACGGGGACTTCGTGAAACTCGCTTCTCAAGAAAAGTCAGGTCAGGTCTAAGGAAGGTTTTTATTCCTTGTCCAATTTATCATGACCACTTAAATTTCAAATTATTAAACTAATAAAAGAATTTTCTATGCATGTGCCAATAATCAGACACTTTTCTGCTGTGAACAGACAGAGGTTATAACTGTCCACAAGGAGGACCTATTGGGACGACTGCAAACTCTGAGTTTGAAAACAATGGGAATTAGGTGGAAATTTTAGTGTCCTCGAAATCTGAAAATGTTCATCTTTGAATCCGCATGTCTACTTTTAGTAATACTTGGACACATTAGCAAAGACATGGGTGCTAGAATATTCACTGAGGTTTTATTATCAATAACAAAAAGGCCCCAATGATGACAACAACAAAAACCACCACAAAGTTCATATCCACCATCCTGTGCAGTGCTAGGCAGCTGACACGAACTATGGCAGAATAATGGGTACTAATGGGAAAAGACTAAAATTGGTTGGGGGGTAACATTTGTAAAATAATGTGTTTATTATAAGATCATTTTTGCAAAAATATTAATAATAATCAAAATGGAGAAGGAAGAAAGTTATTATACAGAGAAGAAAATCAGTTGATGGTCTGTGTGCTACGCTGTCGTTAAGTGTATCATCGAGGTGCAAGATTCCAGAGAACATGCATTTTCCGTGATGTGTTTATTCATTGTACAGAGATTTTATTAGAAGTCTACTTCATATCAGGTATAGTCTAGGTGCTGAGGATACATGTAGATCTTAAATTCTAGTTAGAGGAGATAGAAAAATTCTTCAAATAAATAGTTAATATTTGAATTTTGGATAAGCAAAGTCTATTGCTATTAATAATAAGAAAACATTTTTAAGGTAAAAAGAAAAAATAGGAGACTGTTGCTAAAGAAAAGGGGAGGCTGAGCCAGGGAATGTCGATGGCCTTTCTGATCATGGCCGTAAAGGGCTGGCGACCAAAATAAAACCAATGGAAACAGACCTAATTTTAGCTCAGTCAGTTCTAAGGGTACCCCAGGACTTGAGCCATGATATAGGGGCTTACTCAGGTAGATGTCTTCTAGGCCAGAGATTATTTTTGTTTAATCACTTATTTGTGGGCAGAAATTGAATATAGTAGCTGGTTCTTATACTTTTTACAGACATTTATTTAAACAAAACTGGAGATTCTTTCCTGTTCCCTTTATTATAGTAACCTTACTACTAGGAAAAGCTCATCGTAGAAAAAGCTATATGAGCATTGTTCTTCTTACATTGAGAAAATTCTCAAATAAAATAGGTTAATTCCTTTTTTATAAAATCATTGGTACAGTGCTAATAAAGGTCAGTTGGAATTTTTCATTTTTCATTAATAATTATTGTTTTATTATAAAGTGCAAACTTTACACTGTTAGGATTGTCTGCTTGTCGAGTCAACTAGGAGAATTTAATAATATGCTTGAAAATAAATTTTGTTCAAGACCATATCAGTCAGATTTTCTTTTCATATTGAACACAATCTTTAATATGGCTGCAATTATAAGTCTTTAAAATTAAATTGAAGCCCGGCTGGTATGGCTCAGTGGTTGAGCGTCGACCCATGCACCAAAAGGTCGCCAGTTTGATTTCTGGTCAGGGCACATGCCCAGGTTGTGAGCCAAATCCCCGGTGAGGGGCATGCAGGAAGTGGCCAATTGATGTTCTCATCGATGTTTCTATATCTCTCCCTCTCCCATCCTCTCTTTCTAAAATCAATAAAGAAAGAAAAATTGTTTTAAAGCTTATAAAATTAAATTGAATCTGGTATAGAAACAAGAGAATCTCTTAACTTTTTATATTAAAAGTATTATTTCAAAATTTAGTGTTTATTTATTAATTAAGTGCAATTTAAGAAGTTTCTACTGAGGGCTTTCTCTGTACTGGACACATCAATGAACTGTACCGGACACAGACTCTGAACTCAGGAACTCGTAATGTAAACAGATGGACAGTGATGGAAACAAGAAATGAATACCAATGGTTGGGGGTTTATTTATCGATGTGTATAGAGTGATTCAGTGTTTCTTACCACTGATTGATGCTGCCTTTGCTTTTCTAAGCAGAGAGTCCCTGAAAAGCAGAATTAAACATTGGAAAATCTCTTCTGTACCTGAGTGTGGTGGGGCAGGGTCCCTTAAGGAACAGTGAGAATCTTCAGTCTTAATTGCTATAAACTTAGCACCTCTTTCACCGTAGGTTCCTCAGAGTTGCCTCAGTGATTAAGGAATGCTTGATCTTGCCAATTATGTGTGCCACGGAGTCCTCATTTATCCAGCATTGATTTTTCAGAACCAGAGGCAGATAACAAGCAATTATTTCTTGTTAGGAGAATACAAGTAGAAGATAAAAGACCTCTTTAAAATAAAAGAGTGGATCATCCAAATGTGTGTCTACATGTGATGGATGGATGGATGGATGGATGGATGGAGAAGAGCTGATCTTCTGTGTGCCACCTTCTGAGGATATTTGAACAGTTTCCACTTTGTTTTTGTGTACACACACACACACATACATCTGTGACTATCCAAGTGTATGTACATGTCATATTGAAATATATGTACATGGATAACCCCTCTTATAATTCAGATCGTCAGCTTAAATAAACTGACTTAGTTTGATCAGGCTACCGTAGCAAAATGCCACAGACTGGATCGTTTATAAACAGCGAACAGTTGATTTTTTACAGTTCTGGAGGCTGAGAGTCCAGGATCACAGCCCCAACATGATTGATTGATAGCCAGAGCCTCTGGCTGTGTCCTCTCCTGGAGGGAGGAGCTAGGGAGCACGCTGGAGCCTCTTCTCTAAGGGCGCTAATCCCATGCACCAGGGCTCCACCCTCATGAATCAATCACCTCTCAGAGCCCCACCTCCTAACAGCATCACCTTTGGGGTTTGGATTTCAGCCTAGGACTTTGGGGGCCAGGCAGAGACACTAACATTCAGACCGTAGCAGAAACCATTCGTGATAGTGCCCGTATCGACGTTTAAAACAAAAATCAGCAGAGGTTCAAAAAAGGAACAGAGCTCTAGGTCTTTGCTTGCCCGGTACCGGAGAGCTCGTGTCACTTACGAAATGAGGTCAGTGGGGCTCCCCGAGCTGGAAGCAGAAATGCCAGCAGCAGAGGGAATGGGGGTGTCCCACAGCAGGGGGTTATTCTAGGAGGTAGTCTACATTGTTAAAGCCTCGTTGGTTAAGCATTATACAAGTTACACAAGTTTCCAGGGGATTAGTCATTGTTATTTAAGTCACAAGCGTGCAGACATGATTTTATAGAGGTCAGAGAAAACATGGCTCGTGCTTAGGCCTTGGCAATATTTTCTCTCTCTTTTTTTTTTTTTAGTCCTCACCCGAGGACATTTTTCCATTTTTTGCACAGATAGAGTGGGAGGGAGAGAGAGGAAGGGGGGGGGGGGACATCGACGTGAAAGGGACACATCGAGTGGCTGCCACCCGCATGACCAACCAGGGCCAGGGACAAACTGCAACCGAGGTACATGCCCTTAGTGGGAACCGAACCCTGGTCTCTCCGGACCGCAGGCGGATGCTCTAACCGCTGAGCCAAACCGGCCAGGGCTATTTTTTCTCTTTTTTATCCTCACCTGAGGATATATTTTACTGATCTGAGAGAGAGAGAGAGAGAGAGAGAGAGAGAGAGAGAGAGAGAGAGAGATCAATGTATGAGAGACACATCGATCAGTTGCCTTCCATTCGGGGGTCTAACCCCCAATCTGGCTATGTGTCCTGACGGGGAATCGAACCGGAAACCTTACAGTGCATGGGATCACGCTCCAAACAACTGAGCCACACGGGCCAGGGCAATATATATATACATATATTTAAGCTTTCAAAGTTAAGTGCACAGTGCAAACTGCATAGGCCCTTACCAGGGGCGAAGTCCATTAGCCCAGCCATCCTGGGAGGTGGTTCTGAAGACGCCGGTTCTAAGGAGGAACCGAGAGCTCAGACAGGCTGACACTTCGCCAGGCCCACAGGCACCCTTGAGAAACCATTCCTTGGACGCACTCGTCCTCTAAAATAGCCCTCCAAATGCACTTGCCAGTTCTCATTCGCGTCCTCTGAAGGCAAAAGCAAGACATTGTGTGGCTTAGTTAGTGAACAGATTCCTTCAATGAGCAGTATGAGGTGGATACGAAGCTTTTGCACACACCATTTCTGGTCCTAAAACCCGAATGGATATCCCGTGGACACAGCTTTGGTGCTCTCAGAACCAGCCGGGTCACCCGGGCTCACAGTCCAGGCCTTTATTCTACCCTCCTGCTTCTGCTGCCTTTTGTATAACCAAATATTTCTTGAAATTACAGATGAAAAAAAAAAAAAAAAAAAAAAACTCACAAAGTTTTAAAGGGTTAGAGATTGCTTTTCTTTTTTTTTTTTTTTAACAGCATCAGAAGTTTCAATAATGGGATTCATGCACAAATAACAAGCATATTTTGTACTTCTAATATAATTTGATGGAAAGAGTTGACATTCATAGACTCCTTTTTAGAGCCATAGCTGTATAAAAATGCAACTTCGGTCTGCACATCTTGCCTCATTCCATCGATCCTCAGACCTCCAGTATAACAACAGCCTGGTCTTCTGTTTCACCTCCCACCCCCAACCCAACCAGCAGAAGGTACAGCGTGCAAAATGTTGACCATCCTGTCGGTGTCTCTTTGTCTTGTCTCTGCCTCTGTGTTCCAGGTGGGTGAGTTCCGAGCCCACGCTGCTGAGTGGACAGCCAACGTCACGGCCGAGTTCAAGGAAACCAGGCGGCGGCTGAGTGTGGAGATCTATGACAAGTTCCAACGTGCCACCTCCATTAAGCGGAAGCTCTCCGCAGAACTGGCTGGGAACCACAACCAGGAGCTGACCCCTTGCAGGAGGACCCTGTCTGTGAACCACCTCGCCAGCGAGAGGGATGTCTTGCCTCCCTTACTGAAAACTGAAAGTATCTATTTGAACGGATTGACGCCACACTGTGCAGGGGAGGAAATTGCTGTTATTGAAAATATGAAATAGCCCTCTCTTTGAAGAGCCTTAGGCTAGCCATAGGTGAGGACTTCTATATATGCTCTTTAAGACTGTTGCTGGTAGCATTTTTTAAATTGTGCATGAACTCCAAAGGGGGGGGACATAGATACACCCATCACGGTCACCTACCGCCAGGATAATTTGGCATTCTGAGCCAGCACTGTTTTTCGATACGCTTGTTGAACGGTCCACTTTCTTTGACCGGTGGAATAAAACAAGCAATGTCTGATGCCTTTCGGTGCCCAGACTGTTTTTCTCCCTTTTTTCCTAACGTGCCATAGGCTTCAGAACGAATTAGAATGGTTTCTGGTCATCATGTAGCTTCGAGGGATCAGTCCTTGTTTTCAGGATCTACCTAACTGAGCCTAGATATGGACCACTTCTGGATGACAACATTTCTTTTTGTAAATGGCAAGAAATTCTCATGCAGCCTTTTACCTAAGAAATTTTCTGTCAGTGCCTTATCTTAGGAAGAAACAGAACCTCTCTAGCTAATGTTGGTTTCTCCTTCCCTGCCCACCCCTAGGCTCACCGCAGTCCTTATCCCACGACTCCCATTTGAAATCCATACCTTGCTGGAAACTGTAAAATGACTGAAGTGGTGATGCTCAAAGAAGGAGTAGATGCCAAATTAGATGGACATCGAAGCAACACCCAGAAACCCTAGCGTAAAAGGCACTCCAGAGAAACGAGGTGCACAGATGGCCCCTCGGAGTATTTATTTGTCTCAGGTACCAACGGTACATATAGACAGTGTGATTCTTACCAGGCCAGTAAAACTGGCTGCTCCCTGTCTCTCTTCTCCCTAGCAGGCAGTACTGGAATTTATCATTTATGAATACGTATACGTTTTTAAAGGTGGAAGAAGAAAACCCATATATATATATATACACACACACTTATATATGATCGGACAGAAGAAAACTGTTCTGACGTGGCTATTATTGGAGGCAATTTAAGACAACTGGTGTGAATTACCACTCTGATGAACAGACAGCCAAACCATGTGTTACGAGCATTTGCTAATAAACATTATACTGCCGGCATCGATTTGCTTTTTGGTGTATGCAGAGCTTATATGATTTTTTTTCCTTTGGGTGACATGTGCCAGACGAGGGGAGGCGATGCAGCCGGCAGGGCCGGGCACGGGCCGAGCCTTCCTGGGGGTACCTCTGGAGTTGTGACTGAAGCTGAACCCGGGATGACTGCGATTTTGCACAAGGAAAATGCAGATTGCGGGCCTAATGCATCTCTGACAGTAGCGAAAAAGCTGTTATAGCACAATTTTGATCCTGAGAGCTTTTTTTTTTTTTTTAGATAGAAAAGGCGATAATCCATTTTACCTTTTTACTTTAATTTTATAGCCTGTAACTCTGTAACTCTTTGAATGTTTCCAAAATTCAGAAGAAATTCAGTGAAAGCACCCAATAGATGGCTACTCTTTCTTTTATTTTCATACTTAGATCTGCTGTACATTGTATATATATAATTTTTGAAAATGCAGAAGGAAAATGATTTCCCTAAATATAATTGCAAAACATTTCTTTTACTGTAGGGGGTGGGTATCTATATAAGTGGCATTCATATTAGAGTCTTAATAATAAACCCAGGATCTTTGAAAAAAACAAACAAAACAACAAACAAATAAACACACAACTTAATAGATGCTTATTTTCCAAAATTTAAATTTAAGCTAAAAATGTAAATATTCAGTTAACTTGTTAAAGGTACTTTTATAAACTTCAAAAGATTCTAACTGAAATTTTAGAAGGCCAGGCTCTTTTGGAAAGAAAGCTACACCCGTTTCCTTAGTAACGGTTCTGAAAGCTCATGTGGTGGACTGCACCATGTATAAACTGTGAATTGTACTGACAAATAAAGTTTGTAATGAAAGCCAGCATTTCCGAGTCTCCTGCTTGCTGCTGAGAATTCAAGTCTGAATCTGACTGAGTAGAACTGCAGGGTGTTGCTTTTCCATGCTGAGTATTTGTGGCTCCTTCATTCAGAATTTTCTTTTTCTTTTTTAATTAATTTATTTTTGTTACAGATGTTTCTCCTTTTTCCCCCCAGACGCCCTCCTCCCTATCGCGCCCCCTCCCCTCCAAACACTGTTGTCTCTGTCCATTGGTTACGCACACAGGCATATAAGTTCTTTGGTTTATCTCATCCCTCCGTCCCGCTCCCGTTCTCTGAATTTTAAATAAATATTTTTGATGCAGGATCACTACCCTTGTTAAATATGTGCAGAATATTCTTCTTGGTGGCTGTTATCAAAAGTAAATATCCTGAAATTTCATTTTTTGAAATATTTTAAATAGCATCTAAGTAAGTTCAAGATTGTTTTCATTAAATTATGATACATCAGTATTTTATTTTGTCCTTGTTAGACCTTGTCTTGACACTGGAGTAATCTGAATGCTGAGCACAGGCACCCGAACGCTTTTTGTAAGAAAAAAACCAAACATCCTTGTGGAGTTGAAGCCTGTAGAAGGTAGTCGCCAATCAATCTTCCAGACCTCGTACCCCAGATATCTGGACTACACATCTTGTCAGTATCTTACATAAATTTGTTTATTCATTCCCAAGCAACTCGAAGCTCAGTAAATATCCTAAAACTGCCCCTCAACATTATCCTTAGGATTGGGCAAAATCTGAAAATGCATGCATATTTTATCTTTTTTTTCTCTCTCAAGCTTTTGTTTACTTCTTCTTATAGAGAACACTGATGATGATTTTTATAGTCTAGAGTTTTCTAGTGAACTTTATTTTTTTTACTGGCCCAGTGTATGAGTGAGTAGTTTTGCCCCAAAGGATGTTTGAAAAAAAAAAAAAAAAAGTACTAGAATCAGCAAAGATTTGGAACTCTCTGATCTGAAATCTTAGACATGGATTCAAGGCAAGTTTCTGTGTCCACCTTACAAGTACTAAATGTAAAAATGGTTATGTTGGAGTTCTTTCTATTTATTACATAAATCTGTATAGTACTTTGCTACATAGTTCATGACACACACACACACACACACACATACACACACACACAGTTTTTCAATAACATTTCACTCATGCAATACAGGAAAACAAGAGACTTCTAAAGCCAAGAAGAAGTTGAATAATTTTTGACTTGGTCTTCAAACAAAAACAAAAACAAACAAACTGAACAACAAAAGGGGGAGCAGCCAGTAGGGCTTTGTTTCTTTATCAAAGTCTAAGGAACATGTGACAGGTAAGAAAGACCAACGCCCACCTCATATTGTGTAGAAGAATCTGTAGAATCTTTTGATTCTTAAGGTTAGCGGTTCAAACAGAGGAAGGGAAATTTTAGGTGGAATACCAAAATAGTTTAGACATTCTGAAGACTTGAGGTAGCTATTTATGCCTAAGAACTGGAGACCCAGCTCAAGTTTTACTTTTGTTTTCCTTTTTTAAAAAGTGTTTACTGTTCTAGTACAATCATAACTTCTTTGTGGTTTGCATTCCTTATTAAAGTGTGAGTATAGGTTTGCTTTTGTGTGAAGTAAAAAATGTCTCTATTTGAATACCCAGAATTCCATTAAAATGAATGTAAGATTTTGGCTTCAGCATGAGTTTACTTAAATGTCCTTTTACAGTGAAACTTACTGACCTTGCACACGCTCCTGTGTTGGTCCCAAGATGGCATGGAGAAACATTGATGTGAGGGAAAAACATCGATTGGCTGCCTCCTGCACGCCCCCTACTGGGGATGGAGCCACAACCTGGGTATATGCCCTGACCGGGAATCGAACCAGCAACCTCTTGGTGCATGGGTCGACGCTCATCCACTGAGCCACACCAGCCAGGCTTCTTTTGCGTTTTTAGACTTGGATTTCCCTCTGAGCTCCATATCCATCTAGCTAGCTCCCACTAGATATCTCCCCGTCTCAAAAACCTCAACATATCCAAGACCCTCATGTTTCCCTGGACCTGGCCCTCCTTCGATGTCACCTATTTCAGCAAATGACAACTGGGTCCATTTGGGTGCGCAAGTCATCCTTTATGTTTTCTTCTTTCCTTTAACTCCATACCCACCTATCACCAAGCCCCACTGACTGACACCCTGAATAAGTCTTGAATGTGTACAGAGCCATTGTCTCAAGCCACCACTGCTCTGATTTCACTCTGACTGCTTTTGCATCATTTTCTGCTTTTGTCATCGATGAAAGAGTGGTCTTTCAAATATGCAGATCTGGTTGTGCTACCCTCTAGTTGATATCCACTAACTGTCTTTCGTGGTTTGCGGAGGAAGACCTCAGTCCCTCACATGGCCTTCTTTTGATCTACTTGCTGCCACCCCTTCCAGACTCGTCTTGCATTACTCTCTGGTGCTCTGTACTCGAGCCCCACTGGGTTTCTCTCTTTTATCACAAGGTTATGCTGATGTTGTTCCCTTTGCCTGGAATACTTGCTCTCCTTTTGCTCTTCAGCTTTTTTTCACCTAACAAACTCCTACTCATCCTTCAAAACCTAGCTCAAGTATCACTTTCTCTGATAAGCCTTCCCTGCTGTCAATTCAGGTACCTTTATAATATAGTTTATAAAGTCCTGTTTCTTTCCCTCAGGTCATGATTGGATGTTCATCAACCTCCTTATTTGATGATTATCTGTCTTTCCCACTAGAATGTAATTCATTGGTTTTAACTTACTGTTATTTCCAGATACTAGCAAAGTACATCTAGTAGATGCTCAAAAAATACATTATGAACAAATGAATGAAGATGAAAACAGGGATTTAACTATTGTAACCATCCGAAGGATCCTTGTGTATGAATATCCCAAATTTTCTCAGTTCCACCAACATTTATCTGATTTCTTCTACTAGCTTAGTACTAATTGGATACAAATGGCAAGTATTTCTCCTATTAGCCGACGAGAAATGTCCATCAAAGCCTATTCTTTACCTAGACAGACTTGTAGTTTATTTGTCATTATACTCTTACTCCTTACAAGCAAGGGTTTCATTATTTTACTTCCAAATTTTGGCTCACAATAGATACTATCAAAGCTTTTCAATTATACTCTAATCTTTAAAGTTTGTTTAGAAATTAACTGCAAAACAAATGTGCTTAATAGTAGTGAATGGATGCCTTTATTAGTAGAAAGCAAAATGCTCATTTATTATCTTTGCCAAATAAAATTAAGCTTTCTCATGCTTAAGTTTATAAGCAGTCTGGGAAGAAATCCATTATTAGACACATTTTGAACTGTATCCAACAGAGAATGTTAATCACTTATATGGTATAATTTTGAAATTAACTCATAGAATAAACATTGGTTTTCATTCATTTGATGCCTGACTTTGTAGATGGTATCCCTTTTTACACGATCTCATTAATATAGAGTCATATGTAGATTATTTTTATCATATGATCTCCTTTGTTTTTAAAACAGTTTAGACTTTAAATATTGTATTAGACTCTTTGTATATTTCTGTATTTTTATTAAAAATTTTAAACAAGCATCCGTCAGTGGCAATGTCTGGCCCAGATTCAAATTTTACCATGTCCAAATATTTCAGAGTTGAAAAGATAATAGCATCAAGATACTGTCAAGACATCTAACTAGCCTGTCTTGCTTCTCAGTCAGGTGCAGCGATTCAGAGTTGACACAAGCATTGAGAAAGTCGACTCTAATATTGCCAAGGTCTAGACACATACAAGTAGATTAGCCGAGTGTACAAGTCCCTTCAATGATTACATTGTACGTGCAAACAAATGGTCGACCAAGTCAGTATCTTTCAAGAGCCTT